AACCGTTTGCCGAGGCCCACTTCATAATGAGTAGGTGAGAAGGTATCTACACGATGTCGGAACAGGTTGTGATTTTATTTATAACTTAGGTAGGTCCATTCGAAACATCGACAAAAAATAAGGTGCCAATAAAAGGACGGAAACCCATTGTTCGCCGTCATTCTGGTATTAGGAATTTTGTCGAAAAAAATTGAGGGACTCTGCTATAGAATTGGACGGCGAGGAATACAATGAGCCCTTTGTGTGCGCAGGCGCCGAACAGTCTGGCGGCGCGGGCGCCCGACCCGAGCCGCGCCGCTGCCGCCGCTGCGTCTGGCGCGCGAGCCGACGCGAGCTCCGCGCCGACCGACATTCAATTTTAAACATTTTGAAGAATCGTTTTATCCTGACATGAATAAGTTTTACGTTTTTGTAGAGGTTTGTAAATACATTAAGTGCCTTTTTCATTTAAACTCGTATTTGTCGCGTATTTAAGGTGGTAACAAGGCGTTTGTGGCGTTGTTTGAATACACTTGTAGTCAGTGTGGCAACCGCCACGGACGCCTTCGTAAACAACGTAAATTACGAAATTAACCCGCTGCCAATGCAAAAGCAACAGGGTTGACTGCCACTGTCTACGATCAAAGCGATCGCCCTCGCACTATTAGATTTTTGTTACATAAACGCGGTCTCATTGGCGTTTATTCTGTGCGCGTTATTCTAGAATTTAAATGAGTGTACAATTTTGCAATACAAAGACAAACAGCCTAGGTATTTGTGTCCTTTTGCTTACGATTGAGAAACGCTGATACGACTTTGTTTGTTATACGAGTGATTATATCGCGTTATACCTACTCCGCTAGTCGGGCTCGGGTAAGCGTCGAGTCGTAGTTAACTGAGGTACTTATTAGTCACACATCACGCCACCTCGTCGACAGAGTGAACGTTGTAGGTATATATAACACTTGTATAATTATAAGTAGGTATGCTTGTACGGCGATGACGAAGCGAGCAGCTCTGCATTCCACGTGGTTCCCGCTTCCTTTGATAAGGACATGAATGTTGTTTTCTTGTCGCCGTCTCATACTTATATTGTTACATAAATGGAATAACAAATATTTTGTAAGCAACATTTTATGGCAAATTTTTAAGATTGTTCGACCATTGAGGTAGACATGTTTTTTATTCTTTTGTCTCTATTACCACAGACTACCTACCTATTGGAATATTTTTATTGACTTTAATTAATCATTGATTTTATTTCAGCATAGGCACTTTGTTCATTTGAGGACATTAAAGTCGTTTTAGTCAAGTTATTTATACCAAATGTCAAAATTCAATAGAACAAAAGTGGTAATTTCGTCGGCTTACATTATTGATGCACAGTAAAATCTAAGAGAGTAATTCTGTAATAATACAAACAATCACAGCACTTGTTTATCTGTTATGTTCAGCTTGTAAATTCGCGGAATGTAACTTGATATCAGTTTGTCCGCAAATGATATTTTATCCTCGACTCCTGCAACTTGTTTACGGCATCGCTTATTGCATTTACCGGACGATTGTTGTCTTTCCTTGTCAAGTGTGTGTGTTGATGCAATAATGGATTAATTTTCATCGTGTAAACTAAGTTCTTTTACCAATATGGCGATGCGTATATATTTTGAGAGCGTTGATAACTTATTTTCGTAATCTGTTATAAAATTGATGACTAGCGCCATCTATTATTGCTTTAATGGAAACAAAGGATCTCCATGTAGTATTGTAGAGAAATTATTGTAATTATTATATGAAATGATATCGTACACAAAGTTGTATTTTGATAAATGAAGAATTAGAATTTAATTATATAATAACTGCAGTTTGTATCCGTATATATGTATATAGCCAGATAAAATTAGCATTACAATCCGTAATGCATATATTTATGATCGTAGGTGTTTCGTGTTATTGTAAAGCTAATTGGCTTACGGAGTAAAACTGTACCGATGCCATTTACGGCAAGTTGTCGAGAATCTAGTCCCCGCAGCGGCGGCGACCGCTTTCATTGCATGCCGCCTTCACTTACGTCAAACGTAGTCCCTTCGGCTCTTGCTAAAGCGTTTAATACATTCTTGTAGCTTTGTAAAGAAACTTTAGTAAACTTTACTAAACCTAACTAGAATGCTTAATCACTAGGTCATCTCTTAAAATAAAGTTTAGAACTGATATAACTCTTTTCTGCTTGTATTGAGATGAATCATGTAAACTATAAATTCTGCAATAAAACTTACATGTAATGTATTGGTAGACGCTTCTATTACTTTATTCACCTTACAACTTTTTGTTTACTTCATTCTTAATGCTACGTTTCGTAATGCAGCCGCCCTGTGATAGTTGAAGTTTTAAAAATTCAGAAGAATATTGCTCTTGTTAATAAGTGTCAAAAACATAAGTGTCGAGCAGAAGCTATCGAGGGGAATGTATGTACAAAAAATTCACCGTCTTTTACTAATTGGGCATTTTGTAGCGTTGTGAGGTTCGAACCGCCTGTTACTAATTTGGCGGATGTCGCACGATTTCCGCTACAGAGAGCTTCGCTGTTTTTATACAACACGCAGCTTTACGCTACTTCCCAATTAGTTCGCCAAATGTGATTTGGAAAATATTCTTTTCGTGTTACATATTTCTGATATTATACTTTACGTGCAATAACTTTATTTTATAATAATGATTCAGACTGTATAAACTATGTTGTTAAGCGCCTGATACAATTTAAGTGCAATTGTTATCTAAAGAATTTAATTTATATAACAATTAAAATGCATTAATCGGTTATCACTTTTTAAAAGTAAATAAGCTGTAAGCCTAGCCATTGATCACCTGTATTTACTTACACTAGAGGCTTATAGTGCAACTATATTAACTTCTCTCACATTTAATACTGGCGCGTCCAAAATGTAAAACACATGTAACAAGAACATAATATCATGCGTGTGAAGAGGTATACCAGTATAGGTAGACATAGAAAAAGATGGGTGGGTTGCGAATAGGTGTGTAGGAATGATGACACATGATAGAGTTAAGTGGGGGACAATAACCTGCTGCGCCGACCCTTCAGAAGTAGGATAAGGGGCGAAGATGATGATCCCATTTTAACATGCATATCCATAACTCTATTTACAAATAATTTAAATTTTCAATAAACATGCTTCAATTATTCTAGGTTAAATTTGTATAATATCTATTACCTTAAAAATGAGTTTAATAAAACAAAAATTCTTATAATTAAAATCTTTAATAATTAATATTATACAACTCCCCAAACTTCCTCAAATGCTGTGCATAATTTTGCACAAGTTAATGCAGCTGATAGTGGATAATTACTTATTGATATAACTTCTTCAGAATAATCAGCTTCCACTTTGCCATGCGCCATTGCACCAATTACAAGTACAATTGGTTCCTCCTTTGGCACCAAGTCTCTACATGTTTGTACCATTTTGGAGCTGAAGGACATAGTTATTTTTCTTACTCCCACAGGTAAGTGTGATGTTATAGGATTCTTTATAACTTTTAATAATTTCATAGGTCCATCAGATGCTCTTATCGCAAATTTATGTAGAAGTTGAACTGAAATTTTAAATTAAATTAAATTGCAATATTACATTGTTATTTTATCAACAGTTAATTACTTTACAATTAATTTACCCATTAAACCAGCAAATCTTTTAAAAGTCCTTGGTATCCGAGTTTGTGGATTAATTTCAATGAGAACATTTTTTTCTGTGTGAATATAAACTTGCAACAAGCCAGCTCTGTTTAAAGGTGAGTCCATCAACATCAGTAATGATTGGTGTGTGATGTCCGGCCGGCACGATCCGGGATCTCTGTCGTTTCTACGCAATATTCCCGCATGATCATCACAGTTCAAAAGCTCAAAACTGTTACCATTCTAAAATATAAAGAATAATCTATAAAGTACATGCATTAAAGTTATGCAAACTATGACTAGAAAAGACTAAAATACAATAAATTACAGGTAAAATAAAGATGGAAACAAATACCGTACCTTCACAGTTTCAAGCTGAGCATTCTCTAGAATTACAATTAAACGCTTTTCTTGCTTTTTTATATGAGATGTTACTAAATGCTTAGGTATTGGGTCATACTCAAAGTCATCTTTGTTGGCTGCTAACTTTCTTTTCTTCCCCATTTTTGAGACTAATATACAGACCCTATTTACAAGGTCTAAGCTGGATAATTTGAAGATAAACTATGCGAAAATTGGTTTGAGTGAAACGACACTTTAACATTTAATCAACTATTTGAGAATGCTTACTAATTTCTTATAAAATAATTATTTTAAATCACAAATAAATATACCAAACAAAACGTTAATATCCCACGTGCCTCGATTTGACGTTGACAGTTGACATGTAGACATTTGTCAACACATCTTGCTCTTGCTTGCATTCGTTCATTATTTTTCCTATATCTTTATACTCTGGTCAAACATTATTTTACGTATATTTTTACATAAAACAGGTTTTTTTTTATAGAATCACAATAAAATGCTGGATTATTTTCTTGGATCTACTTTTACAAAGTGGAAAATCATATAATCTGAAAATGTCAATAATTTGTTTAATGACAAGTGAATAATCTTTAGCATCAGCTGTTTTAGGATTTGCAAAACATTGCAAAAATATTATTAATCCACACTATCTGAAGAAAAAACTCATACATAATATCTTAATCACTTTGGTGATATATTAGTACTATTATGGCAAATGATAGAGAGATTCTTCGTGAAATATGGGATGGCAAATTACCCATTTGTTTTCAATTGGACCAAGAAGAAATAATGGAAATACAACAACCAGACCCTTTTTATGTGATGGTTCCCAGACTTAGTTATTTTCCTTTAGTAACTGATAAAGTAAGCTGGCGTCCAATTTGTAGTTTAACTGTTTGATTAAATCAAATGTTCTATTTGTAATAAACAGCATCAGGTATTTATAAATATAATTATCATTTGGTCTTTCGTTTTCTACAGATGAAAAGGCACTTCCTTCGTTATATTTCTCAAGAAAATGCAGACAATGAAATGTGGCTTGATTATAATGGACAACCACTGAAGTGGCATTATCCAATTGGGTTCTTGTATGACCTTTATTGTGGCAGTGATTCTCAATTACCTTGGACATTGACTGTACATTTTACAAAATTTCCAGAGAGCATACTCCTCCGATGTCCCAATAAGTATGAGCTAAATTAATCACATCGTATGATAATTTTTTGTTAATTCAATATTTATGGGATATCTATGATTTGTTGCTACAATTTACTATCCACTGTTGGGATTACTTCATTTTTACCTTTAAAACTCACCTGTAAATATTTCTTGTTATTAGAGATGTTGTGGAAGCACACTTTATGTCAACAATCAAGGAAGCCGATGTGCTCAAACATAGAGGACAAGTGATGTCTACTATGCAGAAAAAAGACCACAATCAATTATGGCTTGGATTACAAAATGGTAAGCAAACAAGATATATTTCTTTAATATGTTAGTGTCAAAACACCTGTGGATTATATCAATAGCCTTTTGCGACTTTGTTCACATGAATATAATTAGAAACTTAAGTATTTGTCTATGTATGTGTCCTTCCAGACCATCATCTACATGACAGTCAATTTTCACAGAGATCCAATAAGCCTTTTGGATAAACCTCGATCCATCAATTAAAAATTTAGCTTTAATAATAATATGTAGAGGAATTGAATGTTTTAATGGTATAAATATGTTTGTTATTTAGATTAATGCATGCGTATTTTTCTTGTTTTAGATAAATTTGATCAATTTTGGGCAATCAACAGAAGGTTAATGGAATCACATGGAGAAAATGAAGGTTTTAAGCATGTTCCAATACGAGTTTACTCTGATGATGGCACATGTAATCAGCGTTTAGTAAGCCCAAAGAACAATGATGGCAGTAGGAAAGTTCTACATCAGTTAATATCCGAACTATTTCCAGATAAAATTGAAGGTATGCAACATTTTTATATTCTTTGGTTGAATCCTAATTGTCTATAAACTGGAGAAATACTTTTGAAACATTTTGTCTCATCTCAAAAAACGAAAGAAAAATGGGTGTTTCAAAACTCGAAATATCAAATTGTTGGTAATATATTTTAGAAATGACCAAAAATTTGTTTCAGTTAAGTTGAGGACACATGGAATAATGATTCCACTAGACACTCCACTGCAGTGGCTTTCGGAACATATGAGCTATCCTGATAATTTTCTTCACTTGTGTATTTGTTAAAAAACAAACATTGGAGATAGAGTTATTTGGAACTACTGCGATAAGAGGAATTTTAAATCTATGTGCAAGAAAGTGCTTAAATATAATTTTCGTATCGTTATAATCAGTAATGTCATGTGTAAATTTTTTACATTGCAAATATCCAAATGCCTTTAATATACTATTTTTTTCTTTGTGCTATTTTCTGAAAAAAAAAGTGTAAACGTAGACACTTATGTATGAAAATGCATTTAAAATCAGCAAAACCATTTGAGGCAAGAACACTCTTATTCCGAACTTCAGAGTTTATTTTTTTCATTTATGATACTTAAAAAAACTTACATAACTTATTACAAAAAAAAAGCATTTTGTGTTTGTAATTTGCAGAAAGTTAATATCAGTATTTATTAAAGAATTGGGTTAATAAAAAATAGATAATTGAAATTATTTTATTTCTTACAATGTTTACATTTAATTAAGTTAAATAAACTTTAGGAAAAGCTCTTGGGTGCACTTTGCAATATTTATTAAGTAAAAGCTGTAAATGTGAAAATTATATATTTACATTGAATACATTTTAGTTTAATAAATGATGAGTTTATACTTTCATTTCTAAAAATGGCAACATTTAAAAAAGCGTAAATATGTTTTCTAAGCTTAAATACAAAGGAACATATTTTTTTAATGTATTATTTTGTGTAATTTTATTTAGATTACAAACAATATAAGCATTCCCTTTAAAACTCTTACAAAAAACTAATATTACTTTCGCTTGTATAAGCTGGAATAAATATCTCGTAAATAAATAAATACAACTGTTTTTTTTACCTGTATTTAATAACCTATTATTTACAATTAAGAAAAGGGTACATAATGATTACAATGAACATCAAACATTTTTAACAATGTTTTCAAGTGTCATGTAAAATACTACAAACACAAAACTTAGGAAATAAAATAACATGATGATCTTAGTTCACAAATTAATATTTTTATAAACTTGTGTTGAAGGAATCACAGTATGAATATTAGAACGACAAAAACATATTAAATAAAATAACTGACACAGGAAATATTGTCTGAATATTCTAGATGTAGGTATAAAACTGTTATTTTTTAAGGAGTTTACATTTAATACAAATAAAAATAAAAAAAAAAAACAATCCGACTTAATTTTGCTAATCTTGTATAAAAACACATAACATTGAGAATATGGCCATTTTTACAAATTCCATTATATTAGTGGTATAATTAGGTGTTAATGTTAGGTACAAATAAAAAGATTACATCTTAACATTAGCTTTTAGCTGAGCTTTACCTTTTAGCTTAAAGCTATCATTTCTGTAAAACAATATCACAAAAGTGCTAACAAACACATAATTTTATAATTCATCTTTTGGTTTATATTTTTGTATCACATAAGGAATGTGTTTTACAAATCGTTTACAACCATTGTTTGCAAAAATGGGCTGGTCTTCACTTGGTCCATATGTTATAATTGATAGAGCATCTCTGAAATGATTAGGAAATAAATACAAAAATGAAATCAAACGCACAAGACACATATTTATGTTTATGAATAACATGAAAACAGCCAGTATTATATTAACATCAATTTTATTAGTTGGCTAGCCTTTGCCCGCAATTCGTCCGCGCGAAACAATAAGATAAGTAACCTATGCATATTTCCAGACTATGCTCTATATTTAAGCCAAACATCATCAAGATTTTAACATCCATCAATTGATATATTCGCATTTATAATATTAGTATAAGATATAATGATTGAATAACTTACGACATCATATCTTCAGTGGGCTGTAACACTCCAAGAGAACGGAACTCTGCTAATGCACACATTTCAACATGATGCTGTTCCAGGGGCAAGAATGGTATGTAGTGATCAATTAAGTGCTGAGCTATCGTAGATGACTTCTCAAAACCACCTAAATTACAAGAAAATTTTAACTAATTGAATTTTTATTATCAAAATAAATTTTTAGTTACATATCATATACTATTTTTATAATATATTTTATTTACCTGTATAATATGATGTACGCCTTATTATAGGTTCAAAATGGTGAAATTCCACCTCATTTCGTTTTATACCTTTATCATATAGCTCTAACAGATTTGTTGCTATTTGAGGTCCACCAATATTAGATATGAAAATGAATACACTATTTCTGCAATCACAATAACGAGAATAATACCTTATAATATACATTTTTTATATTTAACTCGACTCAACTATTTTAAACTAGTCCAGGTCATTCAGCCCACAATTTGATGACTTACAGCCTCACCCAGTCATTGAATAGTTACTTAAGCAATTCCTTAGTGTAAATTTCCTTTAGAAATCTACACTGAGTGGCTGTCATTAGTTAAGTTTTAATTTGTTAAGATTTACCTGTAATCAATTCCATCAACAGCATGATGATGGTCTAGCATTGGCTTTATGGTATCCAAAATAGATGGACACATGTCATGGATCTCATCAAATATAATTAAAGATGTGGGACATCTTCTAACTATTTGATTAATGGTTGACATCAAATTTTTCTAAAAATAATAAAAGAGGCTTGAGAAGATTTTCAATGTCCTGTATCACAGATGTTAAAAATATAAGATTTTGTATGATATAAAGCAGGTGTTGTACTAATTTGACTTACTTTAGATTTCTCCATATCATTGCAGTCAAAATCTTTCTTACCCATAAACATTTTTACAAAACTACTTTGCATGCCTTTAGCGTAGATTGCATCTGCTATCATAGAAGCAGCATAATTTTTCCCAACACCTGACCAGCCATGTAAACTTATAACAAGAGCTTTCTTGTTCTGCCGATTAACATCTTTTATAGATTCCTTATGAGCTACTAAAATATTGACTAACTCATTCACAAGTGGTTGTCCAAACATCTTTTGAGATAGGGACACTTTTAATCCTGTGAAAAAGGTGACGGACTTACAGCAACAAAATAGAACGACAATCATTTAGATATTGAAATGTAAACTTACTGCTTAAATTATATGGTACGTGTTTATCATTGCAACATTCCCAGAAACGACATACAGTATTATCCTCAATCGTATCCCAACTGAACCAACCGCCAAGTGCGACACTGCTGATAATACTTGCAGTTATAAGCTGAGTAACAACATAGTTGACATTTAATAGTAAAAATAATAAAACATAAAAAAGAAAGAATCTGAACTTGAAATAAAGCATTTTTATATTTGTACTATAAAAGTATTAAATACTTTAACTAATAAGTTGATAAAACTAAATTAACTTAAAAAACAGTATTTATCTTCGTATATCTTTATTATTTTAATTGAAAAGACTTTATTTTAAAAGCCCCATAACAATTTTAAAATTGACGTTGCGAGTTGCGAATAGGTTACCCTTCGGCAATGTCAAAGTCAACACCAAAGAGCATGTAAGTAAGAGACCTTTGTGAAGTTAGCCAACTCACTTTCTCACTTTTTTATACAAATCTTTTGAGAATCGTTAGAGAGGGTTTGATAGAAAACAATTTTCGTTTGAGAGTTACTACTTTCTTAGTAAAAGCAATTTCAATTTGTAGCGAGAAGTTGGCCTGAACAATTCATTTTTTAATTTTTTTTTTGCAAATCGCTAGAGAATCGTTAGAGAGAAATTGATAGGAAAGAAATATGTTATTTAATAAAAAAGAATGTGTTTTCTTCATTTTTATTTGGAAGCCTTTTAAGGTATAAAAGTACTTCCTTTACAATTTGCGTTTTCGTTTTCAAAAGGAAAGAATTTCCCTTTAATGCGGACATATTACCTTGCTGGTAACCCTAAATGCTCAGAGGCGCCATCCTGTCAATGTCAAAAAGGTTAGGCACTACAACGTTTTTTATTGTCACTTGTCAAGTCAAAATCATAGTCTTATTTAAATTATTTAAACTTTCGTGAGACATTTTATAATTATTTTACGGCTTACTCACGTCATACTTTAGCAAAAATAGTGTCTGAACAAATTGAATGAACCGACGAACGAAAAGATGTCAAAACAATTTAAAGTCGAATCAGGGATACAGTTACTGGCAAGACTTTTAAAAAAACCGGGAATTGAAAATTTTTATCCGATATTATTCGAAAATGGACCAAAGCAAGGAGATGTAGTTGAAATATTTAGCGATGCAAATGTCTCCAATCTCCTCTTCGATATAATATGTCAGTCGTTACTTCCTGTAGAATTAGGTGGTGTTGAAGCGGGAATTTTGATTTTTAGTACTGATGGCAACTTAGATATCGGAATTTTGTTAGAAACTTTTAAAAGTAAACTTATTAAATGTTTAAGGGAAAGTTCAACTTATTGTAATTTAAATTTAAGTAACATTGATACACTTTTTGCGGCTTCACTTCAGAAATTATTTCTTGTTGAATTGTTTGATGCAACAGAATTTTATGTAACCTTACAAAATTTAGAAAATATTTTACACAAAAATTGTAATATATCTTTTGTTATTTTTGACACCTTAACAGCATTTTATTGGTCTGAACAATGTTATAAAATATGCAAAATGGAATTGTACATTAAAACTTTGTTGAAAACTATAAGAAAAATAACAAAAGATTACAAAACCACTGTGTTATATACTAGACCTGGATATTTCCATTCATCTAAGGAGATAGAAAGATTAACACCTGAAGAAATAAATTATAGAATAGAAATTACACATATTAGTAATGCAACATTTGAAGTAGAAGTAAGAACAAATGAAAAACAAGTAAAACAACATTTCAATGTGTGTGATGGGTATATTCAATGGCACTAATTTTATAAAAACCTTGACATATGGCAGTGTTTTGTTACATATTAAACTGTGCACACTATTTTAAGATTTCATAGTAGATAATTGATATGTGAAGAGTGCATAAAGATTGTTAAGTATTAGTAGGAAATATGATGGATTTTTTTACAATAGTAATATTAGAATTATATGGTATAAAAATTAATTCTAGTTTATTTATACAATTGCTAATATCCTTATTAACTATGTAAAAATGGAATACATTATGAAATTATCACTTATATTGTCCTGAAGAAATATTCATAATTATTAAATATTAATACTGAAAGACCATGATTTCCAAATAATTAAAATAACTTATTACAATTATAAATATGATGGTGCAGATATTATCAGTCTTATTAGAAATCAATTATAAAATCTACATCATTAAGTAACCTAAGTACATAAATGCTACAAAACCATGACTAAAAAAATTGAGATTTTCCCACTTACTTATTGTATGGTAATATGAATAACCAGATTCTTGAACAGTAAATGATGCTTCAAACATCACTCCTAAATAAGCAAGGTGCATTATTGTTATCACTGAAAAAATTGTGTTTACCAAAACTGCTATGAAACTGTTTTTCTTATATCTATGTTCACATTGTTTTCCACATGGATTGGCTAAACAGCATACCTCCAATGCCGAAGCAACTTTATACCTAAAATTATACTCTACATAAGAAAATGATCCTATGCTAAGAAGAACAGCAGATAACTGGAAATTAAATCCATGTAAAAGTGAAGAGATTGCATAGGTTGTAAATATAGCAATAAATTGTCCATAAGGTTGGCAAGTTTTAAATATGTAATTTTTCAACCACTGATGCATAGGTATGTTCCAGAAAATAACAACCTGAACTAAAGATCTTGGTAACTCGATGAATAATGGTTTAGTAACTTCTATATCTAAATGACAATCATTTGTTAATCCAAAACCAGCACTTAACATTGACACAATTGACATACTAGATACAAAATAATGTGACATTCGAAACGCTTGGGCATCACGATATGACATCAACCACAAAGTAGTATCATCATCTATATACCAAGGAATAAAGCAATTTGATAAAATTAAAAAAACCATAGACTGCACAAGGTTTATAATAATCAATTTAATCCACCTGCGAGATAAAAATTTTACATCCAGATAAGATGAATATGTATGGAATTGTATCCATGGACCCAAAATACTGTTTGCCGGACAAAGTAAATATCCCCCAAACTCTACAGGATTCAATATGTCCTTGAACAAACCTCTGTCCAGTTCAATTGCTACAGATATAATTTTCATTGCTGCTATCATCTGTATGCCTCTTATTTGTTGCCACATTTTTGGGTTCACAACATACACTTCGCATAGTACTATAAATAATATTACCAAAAATGTGATGATAAAACCTCTCCATCTTTTTGTTAATAATGTTACAAAAGTAATGGCAAAATAAGCACCGGCTGTAAGTCCTAAAGTCCATATTATGGCTGATCCAACATTGTAGTATAGAAGAAAACTACCAATCAGCAGAGATAAACAATGGCGTCCATTATGTGGCAGAGAAAAACACTGAATTATTAAACGCAAAGTAAGATTTGCAATTATTAAATCTCTTGCAAATCGAAGACCTTCGTACAAAGTTGGTTCACCACATAACAGAAAATAACTCCATGTATTCTCAATATAATCTTCTTCATCCATATTAAACGGTTCGGATTACTTGCATTTTTTTTATTCTTGAACATCTAAAACATATAGTTCATTTTACCTCTTTACCTTCACCCGGTCAACAAATTAAAGTGTTTTGTTTTTATTTATGCTAAAATAATAATACAAACATATTTCCACTTTGTTATTTCATCAGTTATGTTGAATAATTGTATGTTTGTGAATACAGCAAAACATTAAGATCTGCGAGTTATTCTTTAATTATCATTTATTTTATTTATTAATTAGTAATTGTCTAGAATTTAAACTTCCAAAAATTATAAGCGATACGCTGAAACAAATATTTGGAAATTGTCAGCAAGGCATTACAGATTAAAAAGTTAAAGAAGAAAAAAAATATACTTGATTTTGCTTTGCGACTATGCGTACGTATGCAGTCTGTGGCCGTGTCAAATCAAGTGTAATGTTGTCTGTTGTCGTTATGTGTGCTAGAAAAATATTTTTAATCGATAATTTATAATTATCAATAAATATCTTGAGTACCTAAGGTATTACACTAGTTTTTATGCACTTCTTTCCAAAATAAGTGATTATATGAACGTTTCCTGTGTTTTACTTGCGTTTTTGACATTTCTCGGTAATAGCATTCCGCCATAGAATGCGAAAATAATCTAACCATTAGACAAAAGTGACTATTTTATGTAGCAAATGTGATTCCCTTATATGATTTGAAAGTGTTTTAAGTTATTGAGAGTACACAAGATGGCTAGTCCATCACCACAAAACAGTCCAATGCCGCCGCCGCAGGCTCCCAGTCCAATGGGACCGCCAACTCAAAGCCCTGCGCCGCCACAGTCACCGCATAGTCCTTATAATCCGCAACATATTAATGGACCACCTCCGTCGCATGCTGCGTCTCCAGGGCAACCACAAATACCTAATCATATGCCAGCCAATGCTCCACCTCACACAATTGCTTCGAGTGCCAATGGAGCTCCAAGTGGACCGCAACAACACCCGAGCATGTCTCCAGTCGGACACCAACTTCCACCGCACATGGTCGGGCCACACATACCTGGACCACCTGGCCATCCAGGATCACTTCCCCCTGGACCCAATGGTCATTCAAATATTCCTGCACCTTCACAACATGCCGCTATTCCTGGACAGGGGCCAGGTTATATGCAACATCAGCTAGGCCATATGCCTCCTGGTCAGGTATGTAACATGCATTTGTACCATTATATCATTGTAATAGAATTTAAAACCAATACATGCTTTACAATTTATTGCTGCGAAAAATCTTACTGTAAATTTCCCCAAAACTACAATAACCTAATAAGCTAACAAAAAATAGTACTTTAGAAATCTAAAAATGATTATACAAATGACATATTTTTTAACTTCAACTATCAATTTGTAACTGTTACTAAATAAGGGTCCATAAATATTCCTGGCCATTACTAAAGTTTCATTTAAGATAGTACTTAAATGTTGAGTGAGTATCTTCACATCTTGCAACTTAGGTAGAATGTTGTCTCCATTCTTTAAATAAACTGTATACACAATTGGTATGTTAAGCATCTTTTTTACCCAGTCTGCAACATTTCCTGATGAATTATCTAAAAGAGTAAAATTAAACTGCATAAAACTTATATAAAAATTGATTAAAAACATGATATTATCTCTGTCTCGTCAATGTCAATGAAAGGGCCCAATGACAATGTAAGACTAACTTTAATCCCTTTTCCTTCCTTCTTTTAAGGTAGGGAGGGTGTGGATTTGATGGTGGAGGAGACACATAAGAAGGGGAAACAACCTCTTATGTGTGTCTCCTCCTCCGTCACTTAAGAGTAGACAACACATTTGCTATTGCAAATGTCTATGGACAGTGGTGAATTCAGGTGGCTGATAGCTTGTTTACTATTATATAAAATATGATAAAAGAAACAAGGGATGAAAAAATTCAGTTATCATTTATGGTGTGGTTGTCTTCTATGGAAATAGAAGAAATAACTTGTTTATTATAAAAAAAGAAGTAAATGGAATGGTTTTATTGAAATTGTACTTACAAATATATTTTTCTGTTTTTCCAACATAATAAGTAACATTGTACTTTTCTTTAACTGTATCACTTGCTAATGTGATTAACTCCATCTAAATCCAATAGTATTAAATAATAATGGAAAAACAATTAAATACACTTGTGCATAATAAATGACAACTTACTAAAATATCATGATTCACTGACATTGCTTCATTTCCATATGGAATTGTTAATAATCTATTGAAACCTTTAAGATTAACAAATGCCATTAAATCTAAAGCCAAATTATTCAAAGCAAAAGAAAGGGAAAAGGTTTCTTCCTCTGATAAAGGCTGTTGTCCAATATAAACAGCATTACACTCTTGATCAATCACTGAAATATTAAAAATTTTATAGAAAAAGAATTCCTATTAGATTTCAGATAAATTCATTTAAAAATGTGAGTCATACATAAATACACATCTTGTTAACAAAATGTTCTTACTTTGTATATGAAAGAATATATAAGCAACACATACTATTTAACTATAGTTAGATAAAAGAGAGCTTTCATACCATTATAAGATGCTTTTGCAAAATGCCAATTTCTGTTCAAGTTGACACCTTCCGCTGTATTGTTATTTAAGCAGTCTATATGTGGCATGAATACTTTTTTATTTTTGGCCCAAAATCTTCTCTAAAATGTAGCACCTTATTAATATTATTATCACCATAATAAAATTATTAAAGTGTCTGATTGAAAACCAACCACATTCCTGCTGTAAACATAGCCATCAGGATTCATAAATGGAAGAAAATAAAAGTCATAATAATCTCTTAGTATTCTTAAACTTTTTGTCTCTAATAACTCCTTGATTAAGCTGAAAATGATGGCCGGTGTGGACCAGTCTCTTGCTATCTCACCACCCATTATGAATATTGAAACTTTCTTTTTCTCCGAGGATAGTTTTAATATGAAAACATCCCTTTTTTCAAATGTCTTAGCTATTACAATTTTTTTAAGTTCACTATGCTTTGTCACATGTTCATTTACCCATGTGTTAACAGCATCCCAATCATAGAATTCTGTATCTTCTTTATTATTTTTGAATCTGTAAACATACTAATATATTTAAGTGAATTATAATAGTGATAATGATATCAAAAGTGGTTATTACAATTTCATACACATAATCCGGTGAAAATTTGGAGAATTGTATGTTATTCCTTAACAGCAGCCTCTCAAATGTTTTAGTTCTAGAACCTTCAACTATTATATCAATGGGTATGATAGCTTCATTTGTCACACCATTGACAAAATAAAAATAATGACTCTTAAAATGAATTTGATAAAGAATAGATCTTTCAATTGAGTTAAATGCAGTCACTTTATAAAGAGTATAATCAGTAGCTATTACATGTGGGAGTAAAATTAACAAATACACTAATTTCTCCATATTTTAATGTAATAAAATCACTGTGGTTATGATTTTAATGTCACATTTCAAAGTTTTTCATAAGTTTACTTATTAGATTACTTTTTGAATGTTAAGTATTCATTGCAAACGATAAATTTTGTTACAGGGACCGCCGCCCATAAGCATGCCCGGTGGACCACCGCCTCCAGGTAATGGTCTGCAAGGTCCACC